TAAATCAGGGTTTTGAAAGCGATGGCAGATAAAGATAAAGATGAATTTATGTAACGTTCCAGCTCTAAATATGGAATCTGTTCCACGTGTATGACTTTGGATACGAAACCTGCGTAACTCAGATTAAGGTTTATCTTTATTTGCCGTCGCGTTCGTAAACTGCCCAACGCTGATGTGCTGAAATATGGCTAGCCACGACAGTTGCTAAATATTAGCATCTGTTCAGACGATCAACTGAATAAATGAACCAGATTTGGCAACGAAACCAGGTGTGCTAAATTTTATTTCGCAGGTGTTGGCCTTCAAGTTGCGTGAAGATCGTTATTTTGCTTTGTTTCTTGTTGCCACCCATCATGCATTATCTTTGGTTCTTTATACACATAAGAGGTAATTATCTTTTCATGGGGTAGGCGGGTTGCTGAAACGGTTGGTCATGGCTTTCTTGACGAATAGTGACAACTTGTACTTGACGACTAATGCGAACGCCGGCACTCGGACCTCCAGCTCAGGTTCGCTACCCTCTTTCATATGAAGCGACGTAGAGTACGTCGAGTACGTAGGAGGTATGCGTACCTACCGTCTTGTACGAACTATGTTCAGTGCGATTCACTGTGGACGGGGTATGCAGAAGTTTGGGATCTCTTTGACAGGCTTTTAAACAAGACGCTTGCTGGAAAGGTCTTTGCGTCTGGCCTACGATTCCATCAACAGCCTGTATCAGAGAAAGATCATGTATCCGGCAAAGATGTAGAAGTATTAGTGGAAGAAGAAGACAAAGTTGTCCGCTTTGGACAGCGACATGGATGCGAAGGTTCAAGTATCGAGAGCGTACTAGCCAAGAGTTGTGGAATGATCAGTAGAACAGATGCAGCGTAGGCGTCGTTAGGCCACAATGTTTACAAATTGCTTTTCTCCAGCGATCATTCAATATCTGTCACGAACGCTGCTGTAGTTCTTCAGTCTGACATAGCTGACGGATAGGGGCGATCGACAGCAGCTGAAAACCTGCACCAGAATCGACGATTTTGATCCATGCTCCACCAACGCGAACCAGCATGCCTTAAAGATTTAATATGCATATCATCGGCGCCATCCGCTTTACGAACCTGAGCGCAGAAGGCACAAAATATAATAAAGAGGTAATCGTACTGTACGACGAAACGAGGGACGGTGTCCGTTAGAGTTACGCGACGCGATACAGTGACTTGATCGACTTTTCGACGGTAGTCGTACTGGTTTCGTTGCACGTTGACAATGTGACTTGCAGCCGCAATGAACCACATTTTCTGTACAAAAGTATCAATGACGTTGAAACACGTCGCCGGAAGCTGAACGACCGTTTGCGAGGTTGTTCGGGCGTTTTTTGCCAAAGGCGCGGTGTTTCCGCGCTGCAGTATGCCTGTGCGCCGCAGAAGGTTTTCATCGTTGCTATTCACCGTGGCGAACGGTGGTGCTGTTTCGAGTTTTCTGTAAGCAAAACCACGTCAAACGCTAAATTGCCGTTTGAGAATGGGAACGACCGACGCTTCGGTTGGCGCACGGGGTTGTTGAACACATCACGGCCGCAAAAGCGACTATCGAACCTCGAACTGGGACGTCACGGATGTCCGGTTGTTTTCACGCAACTCACCGAGGCGCGAGTTGCAAAGAGGCGAAGACCGGCGCAGCACAGCAATGTTCTCCCGCCTTACAGACGATGACGCCGGCCCCTGGCCACGCCAAGGGTCCAGGAACTGATCTGGCACGTTTGCTATGAGTCAGTGAAGTTTGCTTGCAATCGCCATAGGCATGAACCACTTGCGGATGCAGGATGTTTGTGGTTCGACTTCCTAGCGTATCGCCCACATCCATTTATCCAAATGGGTCAAACGGAAACGTATCATATTGTGGTCGGGTTGGGAAGGAGCGAACTATGGAAACTATGGGTCTTTGCAATCTGTGAAGATCTTCGTTACTCGTTCCGATCTGATACAATCCAGAAACAGCGGCATTTGGATCTGAAACTGTCTCCTACTTAAATCGTCGTTCTTAAAACTGTATGTATACACAGGTGGCCAATTGATGAGCGCATAAGTCCTCCAAAACCGGGTTTCAGGATGTATGGCTCTACCTCTGCTCCAAAATGCTTATATAGCACTGGTATTTAAGTTCAAGAAATCGATTTCATACATGGTATAGACTTTAAACGGCACTTGACAGTTTGATTGTCTACTATGGCGCTTTAACCACCAGTTTAATCTGGAACCGATGTGATATCATCAGCGGTACTGTATCTTTGAAATGTGCTTTCAGCTGCTCCAGATTAAACGTAAATCTGCAGAGCCTCCTCAATGCTGGTCTTATACACTCGAAAAGGCTTCGAGACTGAAATGTTTTGTTTTCGACTGTAGTTACAGGAACAGACAAAAGAGACTAACAAATGTTCCTTATTTATAAGCAGATATTTTGGACCACAACACAGTACTCATCATCAGGATACAAACTGAGCAGAATCAGACTCAAGGTATTATGGCATGTAAGTCAATTTCAAGCACGGAATGTTAATTATTCGCTCTAAAATAAATATGTTTCACCCAATAAATTACAGGGGATACATCGTAATCAATTAAATAAGATAATACGCGAAGATCTATGCCTTAAATATATCAATTGAGGAAGCACACAGCTGTTACATACTCTACTTTGTTCAGCAGAGATATGCAACGACTCTAATGTTATAATGTAATGCTTGTTTTATCAACTTTCATTCAATAATGGAAAATTGGCTGCATTAAACCCATGATTATAAACTAAGGCATGACTCACAACGAATAGAATACTGAACATGGCTGTTCGCGATGGCTCTAGTGCTTTCCAGGGGCCTCGCTTTAACAGCCGTGAACCTTTTCCCGAAATCTATGTGTTACGCGAATTACAATAAACTTTACATAGAGGAAGATTTGCCGATTCAGTAGGACGAGGTTGAAAGTTTAGTAATATATGAGACAAGGGTAGCATCCTTACTGACGAAGTCACTAAACCTGTTCTCTTGTAAAAGGCCACTAATTTCTTTCAATACATACGAGGTAAATGGAGTCGAAATGGAAAATCTGCACTTTAGCAAATTCGACGGACCTCAAGTAGGGAGAGTAAACAAAATCCCTCTTCCTCCTCTTATAGCTATTTTTTCTGCATGCAAGTACCGAATTTTGGGGTTTACCAGCTAAAATAACTACGCAATAAACAAAGCAAATAATCTTAATTTAATCGGATAGCAGATCTAGCCTTATGTATTGATGCTTTTGATGAAAGTAAAAGGCAGTCTTTGAAAAGGGTAAACGTTGGTTTCACCAGGTGAGTTGCGTGTAAACTGAGAAACTGGATAACCCGCCCTTGTTAAGTTAAATGGTAATATAAAGAAAGGGCAACTGATTATTTTCATCGCATTTTTTGTGAATTTGAATATTTTCTGAACATCCTAATTGCCACAACGTTTCTGAAATTTATGAATATTTATATACGAATTATTTTGAGGTAAGATAAAATACGTAAACGGTGTAATGGAAGTATAGTTCAGCATAAGGTGTACATTCGCCAAACGTCGTAGCTTCATATTTATTTATATAAGTTTTAATTAGTCAGCACACTGAAAGTGCATATGCACGCTGCACGTGACATTACCGCCGTGATTACGTCCACTAAACTAATGATATATACAAATATTAACTTGGTAAATCGTAATTTATTGTTGACTGGTCTTCCTTGCTCTCTTCTTGTTCGTTGAGGAGAATACGTGTAGATGCATCTATGCTAAGGCATCCAGATCGATGCTATCTTGACGTCCAGTGATTCAGAGAGAGGCCGTACCTGGATTTACTCTGTGAGTTGGGCGTGTCCGCTGTATCGTTCTTCAAATTCGATACTCACGATTAGTCCGTACTTGAAATTGACCACAACCTACAAGACTAGCTATATCTCGATTACTCATATGATGAAGCCAGAATGAGATGGAATGTATGTTTCACTTCTGATTTATGGTCTCAGAGAGATTTATTTTATTCGGCTGGAGCCATGAATCGGCAAGTGTGACATTCTTGCGCTGTGATGACTGGCTGGCTGTATTGCTGCCTTCGATATGTGT